TATTTTGGTTGATTTCCTCAATGAAATGAGCGACAGCAAATTTTCTGGTTCTTCTTAAATAAAACGTTCAACATTTAATTTCTCAATAATGAATGAACCCATTTCGAAAAAAATTACAAGTAATAGAGGGACAGAAGGCCTTTCAAATGATGTATCACTCGACCCCCATACCATTGAAAAAAATAAGGGAGGTAGTTGCTGGCCGCAGTGGGGTGAAGTTTTGGGTATGATTACCATATCAGAATCAGTCCCCCTAGTGATGGATTGACGTGTTCTTTGAAATTTTCGATTGCACGTCTGTTTCTAACTTACAGCGGGGGTCAAGTTTTCGTTGGAACTCCCTGCATGGTTGAAACCAGTTCAGTAGTTACTTCGTCAGTATGATACGAATATGCAGATGCTATCACAAGTTATTCAAGAGTGTTTCTTTTGCAAGTGAATAGTAATCCAGTTATTCAGTAAATAAAGAAGACTTCACAAATGTTAACGAAAATATGGTGAATGCGAAGGGTGATCGATACTTGAAAAAATAATGTGTTCGTAGGTAATAATTAGCTTTTAAATAATTATAATAATAGTTCTATTGAATTTTGTTTCAGATATAAACTTCAATTCATATTAAATTATGTATATTTTGTAGGTACTTGAAGTTGAGTTATTTTCTACCAAGAAAACAACGACACCAATAACAGACTACAAATGTGAGAATAAAAAATTCGCATTCGCAAATAACATGGCTAACACAGAAGAGTCGCTATTCTGCTTTATGGCAAAATATACAAATGATTTAGAAGAAAGATATAAAGTTATCTACAACATCTAGAGTAAAAAATTCATTGGGAAACGGATTTTTTTATCATTTCGAATCTTAGTTTATTTCTAAATGGTGGTGTCAGTTGATACACATTCAAAAAAATTGGGATGATTCGGGGAAATCTTGTTCTACCTATAAATAAATTTGATCCGTTTATGCATTTCTGCGAAAATTGGTAGGGAGATACCAATTCTGCTTGGTCGTTTTCGAAGACTCATTATGTATGTCAGTTACGAGGGGTTATTGTGAAACTGTATTTTATATCCATTATTTCTGGAACTTGTCAATTTTGTTGAATAGATAACAAGATTTCAAATTTCAAAGCTCCATAGTATTGCATTCAGATCATCACAATAATGAGCTAATAAAATGTTTCTCAAAGAATACGTATTCACTATGAATATTTCGGGAGTGTCAATTTTCAAAATGGCTCAAACGATGTATTGTGGTAAACTCCACTCATCACTTAGTGTTGAATTATTTATAGTCGATTCATAAAGAAAACCAGTTATGTCTATTGAAAAAAAAAACATTTCGGATATCTATTGGAAAAGAGAATCGGGTTTTTAATGAATCATAGATAAGGAAATACATCAGAACTTTTTGCTGTTGGAACATCTGGGTAAAAGTAAATGTCTACGCGAATTGAGTCGCTGGTAACTGTTTCTATAATTATATAAAAAAGTAATAATGTTGTTTTTCCTATTTCATATACTATCTTTCTCCCTCTCTCACTGTCTCTACTCCTACAAAGAGATAGTCTCAACCCAAGAATGGTACCTGCAAGTTCGATACTTTTTCTTCTGGTATTGAATCAATCTCTTCATAGAATTTTTTACCGGTTTCAAAAATAGTAATATGTTTACACCACAGGAATATTCAACCAAATTTTGAAACTGAATTTGCTCATCCCAGGTAGTCAATCAATATTACAATCAACCTACCATTTTAATGCATGTTTATTTGTTGCGAGAACTGAATTAACGTTGTCTCTACCGAAATGAGCTATGTATATTGTATGTCGCACTCGACTGATTGATGAAACTCCAATTAATCAAAGTCATCGCGGAAAATTAATCAGAAGGAACATTTCAGAAACATTTACAACATTCATTAGGGAGTGGAAGAGATTATATTGCTGAATAATCTTCCAAATGGGGTATATAAACTACTGAATTGAATTTACCATATGAGGCACTCAATTGATGGAACGGAAAATCGTAAAATGCACACAAGTTTGTGGATAATATAACAGATGTTTTGCCAAAGAGTTACAGTTACAGTTTCAATTTTCTCATTGTTCTCAGCAAATGAATCACCTTGTTTCTTGTGAGAATAGTTTATCCATGCCTAATAATAATAGCAAGGATTCAGGTATTTTATACCTAGATCATTTGATTTTCGGCATTTTCTCATATTCTAATTGATTTGTGCATATTGTTTATGGTAAATGAAGGCTCATCTATCTATCTATCATTTGTCGAAATTTGAAGCCGTTTGTATAGTGTGAATGATACGTTCTACTCATCAATCGATCCCTGCTCTGGAACGATCGGTGTTTACTGCTTAGTTCTTCTCATCTGTTCTTCTGAGTCGTAATTCTTTTGTACGAAATCACGTTACATCACAGTTCAGCAGTTGACTGAATTTTCATCAAAAGTGTTTCGCTACTGAGTTTGATGACTCAAGATGGATCTATGAGTGAATTTCATTAGTTTGGACTTCCATTTCCTGATTTGAAATCTCTGAAGGAATCAATAAAATTAAAATGAACAGATGAAAATAATAATTATATTAGCCAAAAAACCTGAAATGACATTACAATAAAATAAAATACAAACAACAATTGAAAATTGAACAATTGACTGTGGATTCTTGTGGCGGGGCGGCAGAGAATTTGCTTTATCTTCTGACGTCTTCTTTTCGGCTCTAAATCCTAGTTTCTTCATCCAACCCTGAAGAGTTTCGTCACAGCAGCTCACGTTATGGCCGGAAGTATTCAATTTATTCCTTATGATTTCAATGTAGGAATCTCATTGATTTTGTAACAATCGTATATTGTTTTTTTTGATGATTTTATTAGATGAAGATCTGAAGGTTTTGATAATCCTGAATCACATCGCGTCTTACGTCCATAAGGTTTGTTTTTGACTATTTCACATACAGTTGAGAAAGGAATTTTGGTCAAATATGATTGTAATAGTTTGTTTCCCTCGAAACCAAACTTGAGATGTAGATTCTTATATAGTTTGAAACATACCCTCTGTGTTTCAATATTCGAATGTATCCGAATCTTATTTCCTGGTATCTCTTTTTCGCATTGTTCACCATCGCTATTGGAATCACTACACTGGAAAAAGTCTGCGTTGTTATCACAGTCGTTATTACTATTAGTACTTGTCCAAAGACGCCACATTTTAAATAGATAACAAAAATTTTGAGTAAATATAACTGCACCAATATCGAATTTCAACACTCAAATCGCGATCAGTTCCTGAACTGAACAAGACGGCGATAACCAAAGGCCGCATTCCATGATTTCTATTCATGACTTCAAATTAAATTTTATGAGTCTTCAGTCAATCACAAAAAACTCGGTTAGTAAAAAGTATCCAACACGAAACGCCAAGTGTACAGTCCACACATAGAAATGTTGCCGGATCATTTCTGTGTGTTGGTTTTTATGACCTCTGAGGGTGCCGACAACTTTAACGGTGTACAATATCGGTTACTTCGACTATACATATAACTATATTTATATCACAGACTGAGATTGCACATAATATAAATATTTCCACATTTACGTTCTCACGGTAAATGATGATCACGGTGTTCGGTATCATTGGAAAAGCAGAAGAGCATTGTAGTGTAACTCAGTACTCAGTCACAGAATATCGGAACTATCGGTGTAAGACATCGACATCTTAACCTCAATATGTCGGTGGTGTGAGAGTCTTACAGTAAGACACAAAGGTACTCGGCTCGTGTAACACGGCAGATTCAAAATCAAACCTAAATATTTGTTCATTTTCTCAATTTTTATTTAACATTATTTTGCTTTATATCTGAGCGGGGTAGATTTACTTGAGGCGAGCGAGAGGGTGAAATTCAGTTCAAGAAGGGTACAACTACCCCGTACGGGGTAGGTGTGTCAACAGTGGGTGTGACGGCTTCTCTTGCGAGACTCTTTCAGTCTTTATTGTTCAATTTTTAAATTTTGCTGAATATAATTGTTATTTTCAGATATTCATTTCGATTTTAGTGATTCTTTTAGGGACCTGAACTCATTTTATATATTATTAAACAATGGGAGTCCGAACTAATGAAACTCACCATGAAACATTGTCAACCACCTTTATAGAAATGGATCTATGAAATATACAAATATGCTAACATAATCGTACACAGGTAAAATAATTAGAGCATGGTAGATCATGAGCAAAATATTCAACTATGTCTAATAAAATTTCTCAAAATGCTAAAAATTCATGGGTTTTGCTGAATTTCTAAGATGAAAAATTCAGCCCAGCGAAACAGTAAATAAATTCCAAAGATAATTGAATCATACACTAGATATGAAATAACAAAAAAATATAAACCTTGAATATTCAATTCAACTCCTGTTGGATAGCGTATAGAATAGCTTGTAATCAACTTCAGGCCTTTTTCAGATACATAAAATACCCCTGTAAAGAAATAGTTATATTTCTCTGGTATACCCAGATGTGTGCCATTGATATTGATAAAGAGAGAGTGAAGTGGAGAACTTTCCTGATTGGTTCGAGCGGTGTCAGGCAGAGAGCTATACATATACCATATTTTGTTGATATTCGTGATTTTTTCTTTTGAGACTGAGCGTATATCAACCAGTTCCAAAGCATTGTCACCTCAGTTCACCGAAAATACACAACTGGTATTCTTCTACGTCCAGTCGTCAGTGTCATCGACCCCCCCCCCCTACTCATATGTAATATACATCACGTCACTTACCGGATGTACGAGCACCTTTGTTAATGATTCTATGCATTTTATCGGAAATCTTGGACTTCAACTTTAGCACCTACTAGTTAGTTTTGATATTGTCTCACTTTTCACCGATGTACCCGTACCCGAAACTCATTTTAACAAATGCTGACGACCACAAATGCCAAATGGCATATTTTATGAAAACATTGACTCTGTCGACATGAAAAGCTCTCTCAGTTCACCGGGGGCCAATCTGTTCTTGGAAATGTTCGAGGAGAAGGCTCTGCAGTCAGCTCTATTTCGTTTGAGGGTTTGGCGTCGCTATATGAACGACACTTTTGTAAGGTGGTTGCTCGGATATGAGACGCTGAACGTGTTCGTTAGTGAGTTGAATTTGCTGCACCCGAAAATTCAATTTACGATTGAGATCGAAAAGAATAACCAACTGCCATTCCTAGACGATTTGTTGTTCAAGAAACCAAATAGACTGGGACACGCTGTCAACAGGAGACCCACGCATGCTCACAGATATCTAAACTCCAATTCAAATTATTATCAAGGCAGAAGATGCCTGTTCTCAAATCTTTCGCTCATCAAGCTTAACGACTTTGTAAACCACTGCACCTCGGAGCTGAAAGACAATATCCGCTTCAGCTTCTACAAGCCAACGGTTACCCAAAAATAGATAAGATAAGAGTACCAAGGTCTGAAACATTCAAGTAGCACACGCGAACCCAGGCACCCATCCTTGACACAGAGTACCTGCCCTTTATTCATGAGGTTACTGACAGGATAGGAAAAATTCCCAAGAACCATAGATAACGATTCTTGAACCAATTTGAAACTTGTTAGCGTGCCTCCAAGGATCGTAAATATCATCTTTCTAATCCAGATGTTTCTCGGATTCTGTGCTCTTGTGGGTTGGTGTGCGTCGATACCACTCTGAGTGTGAGAACCTGCTTAAAGGAATATCTTGGTGTCTTGCACAGTCCACTGTCGCTGAACACGCCCTACAAGAAGGTCATGATATTCTTATCTATATATTGGAACAATTTCAGTTGAAAAAAATCAATGACAAAGATTGCCGTTGTCTGATCAAACCTGACACTGCTCCTGCCAATCAGGAATGTGTTTCTCTACAGTCTCTCCCTCTATGAATATCAATGACACACATCATACAGTCCCATTGACAAGTCTATAAACCAGAAGGTCGCAATGCATTGTTGCCGTACACCGCTGAAGATGCCTTCGGTAGTTATGGGCGAAACGTTTCGGAGTTTATCTTTAGACGTTACCACGGCTATCCAGCCCGATAACCAGTTCGAATTTCATTTCCGGCCATGAAAGTTCAAAACTATAGCTAAAGCTAGCAGTTCTTTCTCAACAATATGATAGTGGGAAAAATCTATTTGTATCAGATAAATGAACTTTTGTTTGGTAATCCGGTATGCCCAGTTAGGCAAGAAAAATGCTTTTTGTGGAGGAAGAAAATGCAAGTATGGTGAGACCGGATGCAAGACGAATTCCCAAGCCTCCTGGCTTCACTGGAAGTGTACCTTGAATCTATATCTGTTCACTCAATTGGTTATTAGTTATTTTGTCCGGTATTTTACACAAATTATTATCATAAACGTCAAGACTAAGCTATTTCATGATGTTGTTTTGTAAAGTGAAAATTTCCCAATAAGCATTTGTTAGAGTAATTTGGTGACATCTGTAAGAAGAAGACCTCGCAGAATGTCCAGAGTTTCAGGTACGGGTACATTGGTGAAAAGTGACAATATCAAAACTCACCAGTAGTTGCCCTGGGGTTGAAGTTGTTCAAGTTTTCCGATGAAATCCATAGAATCGTAAACAAAGTTACTCGTACGTCCGCTAGGTGGACTAAGCAGTGACGTGAGGTATAAGGTACAAATCGAAATTCAAATGCATATCTTTAACAAAAAGATATAACTCTCATATGAGAATCATAGCTGTTTCTTCCAATTGATCATAACATATCTCTCTTATAATTTTTCAGTTTCATTTACTTCTTTCTACTTGTAGGATTACTTTTTCAAATCATAATGTATTGCGCTATTCCACTGCAATTTTCCTCAATCAATTATGAATTAAGGTTCAATTTGGAACAAAAACATTATGGTAACGAACAGCATCAATTCGTTTTCATGCTGAATTTTATTTACGCTTTATGCAACCCAATTTAAATTTAAAATACCAGGTGATTTATAGCTTGCAATTATCCTAATATTATAAATTTCAAACTTGTTTCACATGCAACATCATGCTGCAATAAATATAGACTGTCTGAATGAATAATTCGCATAACTTCAAAATCAATATCGATGAATAAAACATAATATCCCTCGAATATCAACTGATTAATTCAATACTCTGGCAATAATGGCTGTAAGATGACTGTACATTGTGTAATACGATGAGTACAATACTGTCAGTGTTTCATAAAAATCAATATGATATGGATTAATAGAAATTAAGGTTGATATTCAATATACAGGGATATTCAGATTCGAATCTATGCACAGCAATCTCATAAACGGTATAAGAGAGGGAACCGGTTACAGTGTAATTCAATGTTTATATGAAAGTAGCTGATTCAGAAGGACTTTCTTTCAGTTTGTGTCTGAAAGTTACTTCTTTGCATGATCTACACATCCATGTATAGAGTTACTCATTTTCAAATTGATTACTTTCTTCCTTTCTTTGGAAGATTATCTCATCCCTTTTTTTTGTATCAGATGGAGTAGTAGAAAGCCAAAAACTTTCTTTCCCAAAAAGTAATCACTCCATCACAGGTAACGAAACGTAGATATATTTGTAAAAATCGGGAATTGAGCAACAGTCCACTGTTTAGGTATTCGTAAAAGTACTGTATCTCACTAAAGTTGTTTGTTCTCGAAGTATTTTCAAGAAATTGATCACTTGTTCCAGCTCCACTGGTCATATCGCCACCACTCCTTTAGATGAAGAATAGTTAAGATGAATGATATTGAATAATATGCGCGGCAAAATTTTCCGCAGGACGTCAAGCAATTGATTATTTGAAAACGATTTTCCTTCACCAAAACAAAAATACTTTCTTTCTGATGTATTGTCAATGGATTTGTTTCATTTAATTTCATTAATTCAATACATACGCATGCACATCAATATGTCACATAAAGTTTCGCTAACACCGTAGCGGTGTTAGCGAAACAATCAAACGAGAAACAATAATTTAATAATTGATAACCAAAATAAAATTGGGGAAAATATATCTACATTCATTTGAATTTGAAATTGTATTGCTGGCTGCTCATCGTTTTGAGGTTCAACTCAGTACACCTTGAACTCTACTGTTCGAGAACTCTTTCATCTAGAGAACTGCGTTTATGTGGAATAAACTTCCTGAGAACGTTTTTCCAAATGGATATGATCTCCAGCGATTGAAATCCAGTGTGAATCGCTACTTTCGCACAGGCACCACTCTGAGAGCACCTTAAGGATTTTTCTGTAGTGCTTGTATTTTATCATTGAAAAAAATAATAATGGAAATATTTAAAAAGAAATATCTTGCTCAAGTCCACCAGCTACCAGTGCTTAGAGCTGCTTTACCGTTGGATGCGGTAGACGGCGAATAGTTAGCCAGTCGTTGGCTAAAATCAAATCGATTCAGAAAGTGTTTCAATGCTGCATTCGATGATGCGCTTTTGACATTTTTGTCCTAGACTCAACCAGTGTTACAGAATTCGATTCTTGCTCCATATATCAACATGTACTCAAAGTTAGGTTAATTTCTTCAGTCGCGTCGAGAGCTTTTGACAAAACAAAAGCGAATCTATGAAAATACTAAAGTATCTATGCATCTTAGTCTTCGCTCTCATCACTAATCGTGGATCACTAGATGTTCAGTGTGATGAGTGTATGTCAAAAAATATTCAATTTTTTCCGCTTTGCTAGTATCGCCGCTTTTTGTAGATTTTGAAAAGGTCTTAATTTCTATACGTAGTTATGTGTCGATTTGTATAAAATCGATTTTTCATGCGATGCTATCGAATCGAACGTTGGATAACGCGGCTGTTGAAATCCGCTTCAAAAAATAACTGTAACCACTTTTCTATGGAAAAATAGCAATCAGCCAATTAATCATATTGACGAATCAATCTCCCATTTCATATATATCTGCAACTCAGTGATCATTGATATTGAGGAGAACTCATTTGTTATCTTACTTGGAACTTTCCATTCTCTATTCAGTGAATAATTCAGTTGATTTTACGACCGAGCAAATATTAGCTCAAACCGCAGAAATTTACTCGTAAATAGGTTCCGTCGAGAAACTGCTCCGATTCATACATATGCGGTAAATAACAATTCCTAATGCAAAATTCATTTACCATTAATTAGGAATCTGTCAACGGTTTTCTTGTTCTTCACATTGAGGGATTTACCGTTTGGAACTTAGTCGCTTTCAATAAATTGCTTGAAGGAAGTTCTAAATAATCTATTTCCTCTATAGTAGCATTGAGTTTCGATACTGTCTGGGGATTGTAATATGATCACTTAATTTAATTCGTTATTTCAGAACTGTATTTCATGGATACACACATAGATATGTCTCAGGAACAAAAATGTTCATTCCTTATATTATTTTGATACTGAACAATAATAAACTAAACGATATTTAACAAGTTCCGACTCACTTTCTGTTATATTTGAAAATAGACACCTTTATCACTAGTGAATAAAATCAAATATCTAGGTGGTACACTTGAAATAGAATACGTATACTGATCTTATCACTAAAAAGCTACGCAGGGTAATTCACAAACTGAAAAACTCAAGATAATACTTTCAGATAACACAAATACGTAAAATCCAATACGCCGTTGCCGAAACACATATTTCATATGGTATATCTTAGTGAGGATCTAGAAGTGACTTCGAATTGGGATGAAAGTAACCAGGTTATTTTCTAAAATAAAATGTTCAACTCATTCAGACACATCCTCTTTGTATTCCAAATAGTATATCTGTGTTTTAAACTATTCCCGCATAAAAATTTATAATGAACTTTCATATTCCAGAACTCCACCGGACCGCAGGAAGTATTGCTGGTTGCGATAACAGGAAAAGTTCCTTCAGAATAGTTCCAAGTTTGGTTTGATTCGGAATTTCAGAAATTCTCCTGATTGAGTTCGTGGTGATAACTGTGTAAGCCGGAAGGGTCAAACACTACTCAATATATAAGTGGAAATTGCTGGATTTGATTTTCACAGTAGATTTCAAAAGCAACATCCGTGTTGGAGGTTGAACAATATTTGAACTCGAGATTGCTCATTCACAGGAAATATAGATATGACCACGGGATGGTATTTATACAGTCTGTAAAAGCCAAATGGAATAAATTGATTATTTCGCACATATCAAAAAAAATCGCGAAACACGTCAAATGTAAATTATAATTTAACATTCGTCAACGTAAAACTGTCACCCCTTCCTTCAACTCCCTTCGAATGACAGGTACAACCCCCAATCTTTTAAATCGGGAGTATAGGTTTGTGATATATCGTTTGAAAGCTCTCTTCATTCTCTATTCAAAAATGTTATCGCTTTCAAGTTTATTGCAACAATTAAGATAAAATAAATTAAAATCATGTGGTTATCGAAATTCGATAAAATACA